TAAGATAATCTACTATGAAACAGATGACATCATATTTTATCTGGATCTATGGAATCTCATAGCAAAGTCCATTGTCTCCACTTCCCATTTCCATTATAAAATATGTAATGGTTATAGAAGACCTCTCAATCACTAACTAATTGGCTTCCCACTTAACAAAAAAACTTTCCACATCCTTCTTTAGTCTAAGCCACCAAAACATATATTTAAGATCAATATACATCTTATTGAACCCCTGATGAAAAGTATAACTTAAATAATATGCTTCATAGAAAATCTCTCATCTCAAATTTTCAAAATTAGAAACATATAACCTACATTTATAGAAGATGATACAACAGTTGGATGATCATATTTCAAGTTTCGTACGAGACTTAATGTGATTAGTCAAGTTCAGATATTCTATATCTAACCTCTTAGCTTATTTAATCCTTTTTTATATAGATGGTTAAATAATCATCTGAGTTAGAAAACTAAAATCCTGATCAATAGGTGGAATCATTTCTAACTTTAATATTTTCATATCTTAAATTAGATGAGCGAAGTATGCAGAGTACTAGACATTCCAAGAGATTTCCTATTCGACGTATTTACCACTACATTCATCATACCAAGCTAATATTGAGTAGTCAAATCATAACCTTTGATATATTTAAACCACCTCCTTTGTCTAAAATTTATATCCTTCTAAGTGAATACATAATTTAAACTCTTAGAGCTAATGAAGATCTTACACCTGATTTTGTTTAAATAGTGCCTCTAAATCTTCTGAGCAAAAAATAATTGCAGTAAGCTCTATGTTATGTGTCAGATAAATTCTCTTATATGGCTTTAATGGCCTTAAAGCATATGATATGACTTTCTCATATTGCATTAGAATACATCACAGTCCTTTCGCTAAAGCATCACCTAACACCTGTAATCTCTTTGTACATGATGAAATAATTAGAATAGGAGAAAATGTTTAATAATTCTTTAGCTTCTAGAAGCTCTCCTCATAATTAATGTCCAGATAAAGGCCACTAACATTTGAGCCAGTCTCATCAAATGTTCAAAAATTTTAGGAAATTCTTTTACAAATTTCCTCTAATAGTTGTCCATACCTAAAAAACTATATACCTTAGATATAGTAATAGGCCTCAACCAATCTACAATAGCCTTAACTTTTTAAAGATCTAATTAAAGAAATGTATGCACTACTCACCATATGCCCCAGAAATAAGACACCTTCAACCCGAATTCACACTTAGAGAATTTAGCATATAGTTGATGTTGCCTTGACATATCCAGAATAATCTTTGGATGATCCATATAGTCCTACTCAGAAACTAAGTAAACCAAAATATTATCTATGTACATGAGTACAAATTGATCCAAATAATCCCTAAATATCATATTCATCAAATCCATAAAATTGCAGGAACATAAGTTAGCCCAAAAGACACATAATGCTGTATTGGGTATTAAAAGTAATCTTTTCTGCATGTACTTCTCTCACCTTCACTTGATAATACATATATATCAAATTGATCTTAAAAAATGCAAAAGATCCTATAAGTTGATCAAATAGATCAGTGATCTTTTAAAGATGATACTTTTCATTGATTATGGTCTTATTCAACTCCTTGTAACTAATACACATGTGTATCATACAATTTTTTTTCTTTAAAAATAGAATAAGGGCTACCCATGGAGACACATTAGGATGGAAAACACCTTTGTCAACTAACTCCTAAAGTTGCATCTTCAATTCTTGAAATTCTTGAAGTTTCTTAGGTTTTATTATATAAAGAACCTTAGATATTAGAGTAGTAAACAAAAATATATCAACATAAAACTCAATGTCCCTTTCATACTGAAAACTTAGCAACTTCTCTGAAAAATTGTTGAACTATCGAGATATCAGATAGTAATCCAAATTCTACACTCCTATCCCAAATAGATTCCAGAAATACTATAATTCATTTTCTCTATAATTTATCTACTTATATGATAGATATTAGACATAATAACTCCTCTAACTTCCTAAAATAAATAACCCTCACTACCTAGAAATAAAGTGACTATTTTCTTCAAACAATTAATCTGAGATTACTGATTTAGTCAATCCATATTTAGAATAAAATTTAAGTTAAAAATAGATAATAATATCAAACCAAACATCCATTTCCTAATAGATATCTTTATATCATAGAAATATACCCTATTGTTTACCTTTCCATCCCTAGTAGGTAGTATAACAGACAAAATACAAAGTAATAATATAAAAAGCAAGTACAATAAATCAAATATCTCTTATAAATAAATTATTCACTAGCTTTAGAATCAAATAATAGACATGACAAATAAAAAATATAAGTCATACCTATAACCATATTTACAATATCTCTAGCCTCAGGTTACATTAAACTATATGCACATATCAAAACTAAAACTGGAGTAACAAAACTACCAGGCTCTCTAAAAACTATTCCTAGGTAGTCTCCTCGCCACCAAACTAGAACCACATTCTCTTCTAAATGAACCCTTAATAAACACACAAGGTAGAACTATGCTCGATCTCCGTATTGGTTTAACAAAACTCTCAAAATTGAGCTTAGAATATTAGTCAAGCCCTACCTGCGGGCACTCATATACCCTATGTATAATATAACCATATTAAACGCGTTGACATATCATCCTATATCTCTGGTTAAAGTTCCTTCTACCATAATTGCGACACATAAGTGTTCCATTAATAGAACCTAAAGGACTCGCAATGCTGCCACCATTAGGAGTTGACATAAATGGCCCTCCTCCTTGACGAGGCTATGGGAAAGGAGGTGCTACTTGACTGACATTATTTCTAAACTATTGATGATTTTATGAGAGGAGAACTCCAACATATTGTGATAGTGCTCTTTGTTGTCCAACCTCTCTAAGAGTTGCAAGATTTGAACTTGAATGGAGTTTGTAGATGGTGACAACGATTGCTGGTAATAGTCATCAGTGGTGATAGCTAGAAAAATCAAGAGAGCTCTGTACTTGAACCATCTTTTCTATAGAGAATGAAACTCTATTTATAGACTTTTTAAGATCAACATTTTGGCAAATTTGGCTAGAATCTAGAACACACAATTATATGGTCCATATTGATGCGCCTGATTGTAGACTTTGTAATCAAATATTTAAATGCCTTAATTATATCAGAATTGAGTGATCGTGGGCACTTTAGATTTGTTTTATCGAGTTGCTCGATTTGGCTAAAAAAATGCTATAATTGAGAGTCATTTAGGCCACCAATTTATGTTCAGAAGTTTCCAAATATAGTTCAAGTGCTTCATTTGAGCTCATTTGGAGTCATATTGGATTAATTGTAGCGTCAATAAGTTTGTTTAAGCATCCAATTTGAAAATAAGTTAGCTAAAATTAGAGTTTGTGTGATTTTGAATTTAATTCCGAAAGTTTTCAATTTAAATATTACCTTGACATTCATGCTGATCATATAAATTTTTTGAAATTGAATCAATACATTAAACTAACATCAACTAGTGAAGAAAGACTATTGAAACCTAAGAAGATGAAGGTGCTTTATTGGAACAACTTTTCATGATTTTTAAGCACAATGCTTTTTGGGAGATATCACCCATTAACAGATAAATTATTCGGTGTGGACACTGGACGCCGTCTAGAGGCCAACAAGAATGTGCCACGTTACTTTTTTGCTCAGTACCGATCCTGGGTACCTTTGGGTAATGTGTGACATGGCGTGTTATTGTTTGCCTCCGGACTGTTCGATGTCTACACAGAATAGTTTCTCCATTAACAGAGATATCATTTGGGAATAATCATTTTTCTTCTAGAAGGTAAAATCCACCATTTTAGACAACTTCAACAGTGATGGATACTCTCAGGTTGGTTAAAATTTGTCCCCTTATTGACGAGGAGTAATAATTGGCCATCATAAAACCAATCAAACATATTTCTATCGGTTTTCAAATTAAGACTACATATAATTTAGAAGAATATGTGAGTGATTCATACACATCATCTATTTCTTTTATCAAGGGCACTACCAATTGATATGTTTTCACAAATAATTGAAATTCAATTTCTTGATCACTATCTTCAATTTTTTGAAACTTATGAAATTCTTCCGTTATGCTTTAGTCATAAAAGCATGTAAAAACTTTTTGGCTTTGTTGAGTTTGTAATATAAGTTCATAAAGATTAATGATATTTTCCTTACACAAATGAATATTATTGTTTAAACTAGTTATTATGGTTGGGTATAAAGGTGGTAGTTCAACACTGAATGGAAGGATTGCTTTAGACTTATAAGTCAAAGCATACAAAGGTTTTGTTTGGATCATTTTTTTTGTTGCTTTCCAAAATAATTTTTTGGTACAAATATTTTTTGAATTATAAATTTTGTACTAGAAAACTATTTTTAAAAAATACAAAAAAGCCGTCCCAAACAAAGCCAAAGTATATCGTAGAAAAGTTTTTTTTTTTTTTTTTAATTTCCCTAATGCTCATAATGTTTTATTGTATCATTCTTTCTTATAGAAAGATAGAATTTTCTTCAAAATTTTGAGAAATATTTAGTTAAAAATTTCTATTAAGTCATTAGCATCGAGGTAATAAATCATCAAATACTCCTAATTATTATTATGAAACCGAGAAAATATATTAGTCTTTATATTTTTAAGAGATATATTATTTTTAGAAATAGCCCAATGAGGTATGCCTAATTAATATAATATAACATAATAATATATATATATATATATATATATATATATATATATAATGTATTATTTTTCAAAATTAATTAATCTTAAAAAAAAAGTCATAGGCATAACACCCCACCTAAGAATAGAGCAACGAGACTTAACCAATTATGCAGCCAGCACTCATGAGCTAGCCGATTGTCACTTCTGAGCAAGGAAAAAAAAAAGCAATTATAAGAAAAGAAAACCAGCAAAATAAAGAAGAGAGACAGAGAGAGAGAGAAAAAAAAAAAAAGACGAAAAGAGGGAAACACGAACTTGAAAAACGGGTGGTGGCCAAAAAGAATTTTTTATCTATCAACACTAGAAGAATTATTGGAAGGTAAGAGGAATCAAAGGGATCACTTCTTTTTGAACCTTGCTAGCCCTCTCGCCCTGTTGAAGAAAGCTCCTTTTCTTCTTCCCTCTCTTCTCATTCTGGCCTCTTCGAATTTTTAACACGACACCAGCTCGAAAGCAAGAAGGTTCTTCTGTCTCTCTTTGTTCAAACTGATTCAACAATCTTGGCATCGACATTCTTTGATTTACGGCATTGCTCCCTATTTTGAGTTGGTTCGAAGAGAGATGTTGTGTTGTGGTGCGGAGATCTGCCGCCGACAAGAGTTACTTGATCTGAGATGAGAGAGGTGGTGGCTTGCTCCGGTTTTGGTTTTGATTGGGGAAAGGATAGGAAAAAGAGTAAGCTAGGATTTGTCCGTCGTTTCGTCCCAGGTTAATAATGACCACCAAACGCGCCTACAAGCTGCGTATCCTTGTTTTGAAGAAGGTAGGGTTTGGTGGTTACTGGATCTGTTCATCATTTTAATCGGCCAAAAGTTTTTCCTTCTTTCACAAAATTGTATTATAATTTTTTTTCGTTAGCTTCCTTGACCTTGTTATGTTTAGAAGAATTTGTGGCTCATGCTTCCAACGTGAACTGCCTCAAGATAGGAAGGAGGACTTCTAGGGTTCTGGTCACTGGAGGGGAAGATCACAAGGTCAATCTTTGGGCTATTGGAAAACCTAATGCTATCTTGGTGAGTTCTCTATTCAAATCAAATTTATTTCCATCTGTTCTCTTTGCTTGTCTCTTTGACGGTTCTAACTTTCTATAGTATAACCAAGCTGCATTGTCTTGTTCATGTTTGTAGAGTCTCTCAGGTCATACGAGTGCCGTGGAATCAGTCAGTTTTGATTCTTCTGAAGTGCTGGTGGCTGCGGGAGCTGCAAGTGGAACTATAAAGTTGTGGGATTTAGAAGAGGCAAAGAGTACTCCCCTTACATTATCTTGGAAATTTTTTTATAATATCATAAAACCATCTTTTCTTGTTGTTGACCATAATTCCGTTTTACTACAGTTATCCGCACTCTTACTGGTCATAGATCAAATTGCATATCTGTTGACTTTCATCCCTTTGGGGAGTTTTTTGCTTCGGGATCGCTAGACACAAATCTTAAGATCTGGGATATTAGAAGGAAAGGCTGCATTCATACTTATAAAGGTCATACACGTGGAGTAAATGCTATTAGATTTACACCAGATGGTCGCTGGGTTGTTTCTGGCGGTGAAGACAACATTGTTAAGGTAATTTGCTGAGAATTAGGCCTAAGATCAAATTATGAATTTTCTTTCTCCATACTTCACAAACATACTGTTGGATTTTGCTCTCTTTTAACCTACAATCTGTATAATTGATATGAGGAGAATGATAAGATTGATGTGTCACTAGTTTCAGCTTACCTTAAAGGTTGCACTAAAACTTTTCTGGACAGCTTTGGGATCTAACGGCTGGGAAGCTACTACATGATTTTAAGTGCCATGAGGGTCAGATTCAGTGCATAGATTTTCATCCACATGAGTTTCTCTTGGCAACAGGTTAGCTGCAATTTTCAACTTGTTTAGAATTACTGTTTTGCAGAAGCTTTTCATCTTAATCTTCCTGTTACTCATTTTGATAAAGTACAACATGTTTATTCTCTTCATTTGTTTCCTCTTCTTGCTCATATAGAAATTGCGTAGGGTGTACTCGTTTGCATTCCAATGAATAAAACATTGATGGAATATGATTGCCCTAATATCAAATTTGATGGAAAACTTTGTTTATAATGTCTTGCTTAATCTTTTCCTTTATTCTACTTCCAACTAGCTTTTGCAGTTCTTTGTTTCCTTCTTTAATTGCAAGAGGATTGATTTGGTTTGTAGAGGGAGGATTATAGCAAGAGAATGGGATTGAGTTTTCTGTTAGAGAGAGAATCATGAGGGAGATGTTGGGATTTGGGAGATTTGTGAGGAGAAAGGGGAGGGATAGAAAATTGGGTAATAAGAGGAGGTTTTGGTCAATTTTTATTGAATAACCAATTGTGAGATACATGTGTTTTCTATTTCTATTTATAGATGTAGGCTTTTATTTAAATTAATTCAAATTTAAATCTCATTAAGTTGATAAAGCTTATCATTTAAATAAAAGAAAGAATATCCTAATGAAAATGATAATGAATTTAATCATTGTTTGACATACAATGCCATAAATAATTCAAAAAGAATACATGCTAGAAAAATCTAAATGAAGCGTAATGTACATTATGTATTGTATGATGGAGCTCTTTTTTTTGACAAAGTCATGCATGTCTTTGTCCATAGAGGTTGTGTTTGCATAATTGGCTCATGGGTATTCCTCATATCATCAACATATACTATTTGAGTCTAAACATTGGAAAGAGGATTTGTTGGATTTTGGTCTGAACTTTGCCATGCATCATATAACTTTCTTAGATAAATACTCGAAATTACATTGCGATGGCAACAATCATAAAATGAATTCAACTTGTATTTTTGGGTAAGGAGTATGTGATTTGTTTTGGAACTTATATGTATGTGTGTGTTTATTTATATATTAGTGAAATCTTATAGCAGTACATGAATAAGTGACTTAACTTGTATCTTCATTCATGGCACTTTTGAATAATTACATTTACAAAAGGCTTTTTAGTATTAGGGATAGGCTTGGTCCATTGATTTTGGCTTAACAAAAGGTTTCAATCACAACCTCAACTTTGAGCTAAGCAAGAAGCTTGATTATTGACAACTGATCATCATTATCATTAAGTCCATTTACAAAAATTTGAATCATTATAATAATAACCCTCAAATTGCATGGGCCAAGGACCACAAGGATCTAGTTTGATTTTTTTAAATAGGGTTTTGAACTAGTGCTGATTTTGTTGCCTGAATTATTGGAATTTATACAAGTTTCTAAACTATTAGAGTCTTAGAAATTTTTTTATGATATGATAAATTATCACAATGAGATGGTTTTGGATGAGATGATTATATGTATAGTCATTAAGGGAAAGTTCTATAAGATAGTGGTTAGACCTATGTTGTTATATGGCGTATAATGCTGGCCATTAAAAGAGAAGCATAAAATTAAGTGTTGTAGGGATGAGGATGCTCTGGTGGATGAGTGGTTTTACACTTAGAGACAGAATGTGAAACGGGTATATGTGTGAAAAGGTTGCTGTAGAATTTAAGTAGGATGGTTAGCCTTTCGATGACTCGGTTAGGAAAGTAGATATATTAGATCTGTCCTATGTTAAGCAAGGTGGAGGTAGACCTAAAAATTCTTGGTTATAAAGTATTAGAAATGATATTCTTTTTATTAGATTTAAATGAGATTTTGACTTTTAATCGAATATAATGGAGAAAAGGAATTCATATAGCTGATCTCACATAATAGGATAAATGTTTGATGATGTGATTTATGTATGTTTTTATTTGTAGAATTCAAGTTGGATGGTTGAAGTGGAGAAATGCATCGGGCTTGTTGTGTGATAGAAAAATATCCCTCAAACTTAAAGAAAAGTTATATAAGATGGTGGTGAGACCTGCAATACTTTATGGTGTAGAATGTTGGCTATTAAAAGAGAAACATTAAATTAAGTGTATTGCAAAGATGAGGATGCTCAAGTGGATGAGTGGCTTTACACTTAGAGATAAAATGTGAAACGAGTATACTACATGAAAAGGTTAGAGTAGCTCCAATGATAGATAAGATTAGAGAGAGTCGTCTTAGATGGTTTGGTCACATAAAATGCCAGGCTTTTGATGACTCGATTAGGAGAGTAGATGTATTAGGCCTGGCCTATGTTAAGAAAGGTAGACATAGACCTTGAAAGACTTGGTTAGAAATGATATTTTTTTATTTGATCTAAATGAGAATTTGACTTTTAATTGGAAATAATGGAGAAAATGAATTCATATTGCTGACCCCACGTAGTGGGATAAAGGCTTGCTGATGTGTTGTATGTATTCTTTTATTATTTGAATTCAAGTTGGATGGTTGAGGCGGAGGAATGCATCAGGCTTGTTGTGTGATAGAAATTTACCCCTCAAAGTTAAGCAAAAATTCTATAAGATAGTGGTGAGACTTATAATGCTTTATGGTGCGGAATGTGTGCCATTAAAAGAGAAGCATAAAATTAAGTGTTGCAAAGATGAGGATGCTCAAGTGGATAAGTGGCTTTATACTTAGAGACAAAATGTGAAAGGAGTATAGTACTTGAAAAGGTTGGAGTAGCTCCAATTGAAGATAAGATTTGAATGAGTCATCTTAGATGATTCTGTCACATAAAACATCAACTTTTCGATGACTAGATTAAGAGAGTAGTTGTATTAGGTCTGCCCTATGCTAAGAAAAGTAGAGGCAGACCTAGAAATACATGACTAGAAAGTATTAGAAATGACATTTTTTATTAGATTTACATGAGAATTTGACTCTTAATAGGACACAATGGAGAATAACGAATTCATGTAGCCGACCCCACGTAGTGGGATGTGATGTATGTATGCTTCCAGGGGAAGAAAATAAGAGAGTTTCCTAGAACCTGATTTGTGTTCTGATGTTAGAGCAGTGACTTTGCAACGAGTTAAATGCATAGATAACAAATTCAAACTTTTTTTTTCATTTACTTTCAGCCTCTGTTTCCACCTTCCAAAATTCAAATTTATTTTTATAGTTTATCCGTTATGAATCATATTACTTGATATTAACATATATTCATGCCATATCTTGTACTCTTTGTAATTTATACTTTTTCTTTCATAAGGATGCTAATGGTAATGTCATCTTCATTACTAACGACTGACATGATATTTACTGTTCTTTTTGGCCATTCTTTTGTGTTGGCTAATTGTTTCTTGCTTCCCAAAGCCAGCCAACAAAATTTTTCCTGTTCATGCATATTTCATATGGATTCAGGATAGAGAAAAAGATGACAATCTTGTATTTAACTCATTTATTTTCATCATCAGTATCATCTAGCCAACTTGTTTTGTGCATGAATTCCCTTTAATTCATGTTCTTCTTGCAAGTGCTTTATTTTGTTACTTAAAGCATATTTACCATGCACAGGTTCATCTGATAAAACGGTTAAGTTCTGGGACCTAGAAACATTTGAGTCGATTGGTTCTGCTGGACCTGAGGTACAACATTTTGTTTCAGCGTTTATAATAATGATTCTCGAGTTTTCTTTACATTTTCACTTAGCCGCTTGTTTTATTGTTTTATTTTATACAACAGTGAATCATGCTTCATTTAACATAAGAATTGATTATCTAGCAATTTATGGTATGGGGTTTTAAGGTTGTGCGGTCATGCTCTTTGGAAGTCTGTTAGTTTTACGCTCTTCCCCTACCATGCATGTCTTGTGTTGTTATTTAATGTTATACAAAGGTGAATAGAAGAGGGTTTAGTTCCTAGAAAGGCAGATTGACATGTATCTTCTAGGGTTATCATAGTGTTTTCCCCTTTGCATGAACCAAGAAGAAAACTCGAGAATTGTGCCGGGATGCGGTCGGAGCTCCGGCGCAGACTCGCTCCTTCAAAGAAAAATAACAACACAAGATAAAATTTTTGATATTAAGATTGAAATCTTTTAGGGTAAAGGTGAAGAATGGGATCATTTTGGGTGGGTGGTTTTTTGGTGTGAGAATTTTTTCTTTGGTCTGGTTGGGGTGTAGGCATTATCATTGTGACCATTTGCTTTCTTTTTGGACTTGCTTTAAAAAACCACTTATATGATGCCAGATCATTCAAAATGAGTTGAGAAGCTTCAAAATTTAAAATTTCACTTTTCTTTTAATTAAACCTATTACCGTGTCTAGTTTCCAGATGAAGATTTGCAAAGGGATGCAAGCTTAACGTATTTTTGTGTTTGCTGAAGTAAAGACAAACTGAGAGAGGAAGGAATATACAAAGTTGAAGAAAGAATCATGGTAATCTTATAGTATGGTGTAGACTTAATCAAGGATGCATAAATATGATATTGTAGATAACCTCCACAAGTAGTCTTTCTTGGTGAACGTGTCTCCACTCCCTGAAAATCCTCCAAGGAAGGACACTCACAATCAAATATTTCTCACTTAAAGGTGCAAAAGCACAAAGAGAGTTTCAGCACTTAGCAAAATCTTCCATTTATTCAATGAGCTACATAAAACATCACATCAAAAGGGTGGCTGGTCAAGGGTTTGTGAAGGAGAATGGAGTACTTGTGGTTGGGAAATTGAAGAGTTGCATGTAGTTTCCAAGAAGGTACTTACAGCATCATTTATTTTTTATAATTTTTAGGGGAAGGTGGGGATCAAGTGCTATATGAGGAATAAACATAATAATGAAGGATTTGTAAAGCTGTAATATCTACAATGATGATGACAATGGTGACATTAAATCCCATTGACTTTAAAGGATTTGCCTCTAATGAATGAAGCTTTTAATATTTTTGAAGCAAATTTGACTCACGTTGTTGAAACTCTGTTAGTGTGAACTATCAATCATCCAATGGTGAAAGACTTTTCCAGTGAATAAGATGCTATTAGATTCCACCATCTATAGTATAAATGATATGGTTATCTAACATTTGATGGTTTAGAATGATGAGTTTGCTAGGTTTTTGGTGTGAAGATGTGTCTACCGAATTTACTTCTATGTTATTAGGCAAATTTTAGGTAGAAGTATCAATAATATCATTGGCGGTATTTATGTGTTACAAAGTTAAATCTATCAATTTGAACATTGGAGATATCCCAACATTTGTCAAAAGATCAAGCTCATAGGAAATATCATTTATTTTTCTAATAATTTAACATGGTCCTATCCTTCTAGTAGTAAGCTTTTTGGGGGCTCCAATAGAAAACGTCTCATGCGGCATTCTCATTAATGTTAATTATACCTTGTCAAATTCAAGATGCTTCCAATACAAATGAATACTAGATGTATATTATTAATAATTAATAATCGATTTCTATTATACTTTTGAAGAAGATCATGCATGCATGATTAAGTGTCTAACTTTAGATTTACAAGATTTATAATTATTCCTATTGAGAAAAGGGCTTATGTCAATTGACCTTTTAATGGAACTATTATAAGTAAATTTTATAAGCATGATAAGGTCTCTACTAATATGTGATCATTGACCAAACATTTGAGATTACCTAAGTTCCTTGTTACTACATTGACTTGACTATCAATTTGTTGGTGATAAGCAATTCTGGAGAGCAATTTGGTGCCCAACTTCTACAAAGAGTCTTCTAGAAGTAGCTTAGAAACATACACCCTGGTTGGAGATAATTTTTTATGCAACCTATGTAATCTCAATACTTTATGAAAGAAGATAGAAGAATGTGAGCCGCCCTCAGAGTTTTTAAAATCGAATCAGACTGTTCTGTTTGATCGTGATCTAGTTCAATTGTCCGTTCAGTCAAGTTGGAAAACTGTATTTGCATTGAACCAGTGCGAGCCAGTTTGAACCTCACAGTTCAACTAGTAAACTGTTAAATAAGTTCCAATTTTGTTGAAATGGCCGGTTCAATAAATATTATTTTTATTTAAATAACATTTTTGAATATTAAATTTTTATTTAATTAATTTTTTTACATTTTAAATATATTTTTAAAGGCATTTGCTTTTGTAAATAATTGTTTTATGCTAGGGCGTTCCCCGAAAGCAATGCGTTGTATGCCATTAATATAATGACAAGTGTGCAAGGGTCGCTACATCGGAGCCCGAGGGCAGTGTTAAATAAGCAAGGGTTCCCACATCATGGATGGATGTGGGCAAAGAAGTCTATGAAACTAAATTAGGATATGAACATGGAATATAAGTTTCTTTACAGACAAATTAAGGAATCAATAGATATTATGATTCATAGAAAAATAAATATTCTATATATTCATGAAATTAAATGTTAAATAAGCAAGGGTTCCCACATCATGGATGGATGTGGGCAAAGAAGTCTATGAAACTAAATTAGGATATGAACATGGAATAAAAGTTTCTTTACATACCAATTAAGGAATCAATAGATATTATGATTCATAGAAAAATAAATATTCTATACATTCATGAAATTAAATAGGTTGGAGAGAACACTAAGGAGATTGATAGCTAATGATTTAAACTATAGTATTCAGGTAAGAGTCATACTAGAATTGGTGTAGATATGGTTAGAGATATGAGTTTAGAAGATAATGTTGTAAAAATTAATAGAATTGGAGATAGAATTATAGTTTTAAAGGTTATTGTTAATAATACAATTATTAATATTATAAGTGCTTATGCTCCTCAAGTAAGTTTGGATATGGGCTCAAAATTAAAATTTTGGAATGACTTAGAAGAATTAATACAAAAGATACCTCTTGAAGAAAATATTTTTAGTGGAGGAGATTTAAATGTCACATCCAAAATGTCTTGTTGCTCCTTGACATGCAATTCTTCAGTGGAAAAAAATATGGAGTGAGAAATTAGGAATACAATGATGAGTGGTGTGAAATGGGTAATCATCTTGCACTTATCAGTTATTGCTAACTCTAGGGTCCTCTTTTGTCATTGACTTATGGATTTTACTAAAATTTAGTTACCTTTATACGTATGGGGCTTAAAATGAGGATATCCTACGAAGTGCATCAACAATTTTGTTCTTAACACTAGCTTTGTCTTTGAGGACGAAAGTGTGCTCTTGAAGTAATTGTACTCACTCGACGTATCATGAATTCACATTCTTTTGAGCATTCAAATATTTGAGAGTTTCATGGTACAGAGTGAGCATAAACTCTTTAGATAGAAGATAATGATGCTAAAATCGAAGTGTTTGCAATACTATATAAAATTCTTGTTCAGATGTCAATTAATATTGATATGCTTCATTAACATTCTCTTTAGAATAAGCAATTTGTTGTTCCTCCTACTTGAGGAATTCTCCAATGTTAACTCCCTAGGCACCACATGATACCTCAATAAACTAATTGAAATCGTAAAACTTCAAGGCAAGTGGGCTAGTTAAGTGCTCCTTAACTTTGGTAAAGGCTATCGTCGTAGTAAAGGTTCATCTAAATTTTTCTCTTTTGAAGCATTGGGTGATTGGAGCCATGATAGTGCAAAAGCCTTGGGTAAACGAAGCCAAATAATATAATTAATCCCTCATAAAGAGCATCTTTTGTTTAGAAGGTAGTCTTTTATTCATTTCCCACATATGAATTTGGTGATATCCACTTCTAAGGTTGTTTTCTAAAAAAATGTGTATTTTGACTATCACATCCAACATACATCAAGTTGAGGTACATGAAACTTATATTTGATAATATTTTTCTTGATGGCATAACTATTAACGCACATGCTGTGTGATTCATTCTTTTTTGAAGTTAGCAAGATGGGAATAGAATAAGCATGCAAACTCAAATGAAACTATTTAGTATATATTTATTGACCTTTCACTTGAGCTCTACATGTTTAATAGTGAGGCAAATTTGAATGACTAAATCCAAATACAATGTCTATGACATATTAGATTTCTCCTTGATGTTGGAGACTCACTAAAGTGTTCATTGAGACGAATCTCTTGAATTTAGACAAATGACATTCACCTCGGATGGGAGGGGAGGAGACTTGACAATAGGTTGACTCAACATGATCAAACTACTAATGCATAGATAGTGTTATGCTCGCTATTATGTTTATGCCTTAACAATTGATAATATGATGGAATTTCTTGTTTGTAGGAGGCCTCTTTTGGCTTAGTTAGATTAGACATAATATGTCTTACTTCAAATTTGTAGACATATGGATTGGAGCATCTAAAGTGCATGATATCCTGGTCATATAGCCATAGTTTTCCTAAAAGGGCTTGTATAAAGTGATGTCCATCGGTAGAACGTCAAACCATATGTAATTAACATAGGTTGCTAATTGAATTAGGACATGGGAATATTGGGAGATAAGAATTGATTTCTTATCCAAATGTCTTCCTTGTAAGGTCGAGGGTAAGGTTCTAAGGTGAGCGTCACCCTAACCAACGTGGAGGTAGCAACAATGCTCATGTAATTGTCATTGACTGATTTGCATAATTTGTTTCTTCTTTTGAAGTAGACGTGGAACATGGTGGTGTCTTAAGTTTGTTTATGTCAGCAAGGTAATTGGATAACACAAT